AGCCCACATGGAAGAAGCACACCAGCCTGTGTGATCATGAGGTGTCGAAGGGATCAGGGATCAGGCATCAAAGAACAAAAAATCAAATCATTGTGAATGAGGGGGAGTGCAGATTGGGGACCCAAGACCCATCTGTAGGCAACTGGACATCCCCTTACAGAAAGGTTGTGGGGAGGAGACAAGCCAGTCAGGGTACAGTGTAGCAACGATGAAACATATAACTTTCCTCTAGTTCCTAAATGCTTCCTCTCACCCCACTATCTTGATGCCAATTCTACCTTACAAATCTGGCTAGATTAGAGGATGTACACTGGTACAGATAGGAACTGGAAACACAGGGCATCCAGGACAGATGATCCCTTCAGGACCAGTGGTGAGAATGGCAATACCGGGAGGGTGGAAGAAAAGTGAGGGAGAAAGGGGGAACTGATTACAAGGATCTACATATAGCCTCCTCCCTGGGGGATGGACAGTGGAGAAGTGGGTGAAGGGAGACATCGGACAGTGTAAGATATGACAAAATAATAATTTATAAATTATCGAGTGTTCATGAGGAGCTGATACCAGGGGCTTAAATGGAGAGCAAATGTTTTGAGAATGTTGAGGGCAAAGAATGTGCAAATGTGCTTACACAATTGATGTATGTATGGATCGTGATGAGTTATATGAGCCCCCAATAAAATTATTTTTAAAAATACTATAGCTATGAGAAATAATTAATTTTATTGCCTCAAATTTTTTAAATTGGAATTTTTACACTAAATTTTCCCAGTAAAGAACACTATGAAACAAAAACGGGAGAGAGAAAGAAAGTATGTTTCTACCACATAAGGTCCACTCTGCAGGAACATGACTGTCTCAGACAAGCACAGCTCCATGGTCTATGCACGATCCAATGGCCCTGCCTTTTGAAAGCAGCCTACAGAGAAAGGAAAAGTGAAGTTTCTTACAGTTCTTATATGCAGAAGATTAAAAGCAATTAAAAGACCTAATTGCCTGTGAAACCACCTATTGCAAATAAGACATTCAGATTCAGGCTACATTTGAATGGATTAAGTAGGCATATTCTGTTTATGTGAATGTCAATAAGCATTCCTGGAGATA